CTCTTTCCTCTCCAAAGGATGTCCTATAATCTCAGTACCCCTCAAAGAAGATCTATCCCTCTGGGCTCCAGATGGGATTTCCCTCCTTCACTTTTCCAGATGTGATCTCTTACATCCCTAGGGTCCAAATAAGGATGTTCCAAGCCCTTGATAGCAAAGTGGGATGCCAAGCACCCTTGTTATCTGAGGTACCACCCACTCAGCCTGCAGACCGGCTAATTCTCACCCCTCAGAGCCTCAAGCAGGAAGTTCCCAAATTTTTGAGAAGTGGGATGCTCTGGCAATAAAAAATATTAGATGCTAATGTAGTGCCCGGCTCTGTTCTAAGTATTTCACTTGCATGAACTCATCAATCCTCATAGCAGCCCTATGAGTAGTTATTATCATCCCCAAAATGAGGAGCAAGAAATATAAATGTCACAGTCTATGCACCCAGGCTAGTCATATGGGGTTTGAACCCTGGTCATCTCTGTTCTTTCTTTTTTTTTTTTTTTTTAAATTAAAAAAAATTTTTTTTAATGTATTGGAGTACAGTTGATTTACAATGTTGTGTTAGTTTCAAGGTGTACAGCAAAGTGAATCAGTTATACATATACATGTACCCACTCCTTTTTTTAGATCCTTTTCCCATATAGGCCATTACAGAGTACTGAGTAGAGTTCCCTGTGCTATACAGTAGGTTCTTATTATTTACTTATCTTATATGTAGTAGTGTGTATATCCCAGTTTATCCCTACCCCCCTTATCCCCTGGTTACCATAAGTTTGTTTTCTACATCTGTGACTCTACTGCTGTTTTGTAAATAAGTTCATTTATACCCTTTTTTTAGATTCCACATATGAGCTATATCATATGATATTTGTCTTTCTGTGTTTGACTTATTTCACTCAGTATGACAGTCTCTAGGTCCATCCATGTTGCTGTAAATGGCGTTATTTTGTTCTTTTTTATGGCTGAGTAATATTCCACTGTAGATATGTACCACATCTTCTTTATCCATTCCTCTGTTGACAGACATTTAGGTTGCTTCCATGTCCTGACGATTGTAAACAGTGCTGCAACGAACATTGGGGTGCATGTATCTTTTTGAATTATGTTTTTCTCTGGATATATGCCCAGGAGTGGGATTACTGGGTCATATGGTAGTTCTATTTTTAGTTTTTGAAGGAACCTCCATCCTGTTCTCCATAGTGGCTGCACCGATTTACATTCCCACCAACAGTGTAGGAGGGTTCCTGGTCATCTCTGTTCTTAACAGCGACACTCTATTGCATCTCACTAGTCCATAAATATGTCCCAAAGGTCCTCACTGCACTGGGGGGGCTGTCCCGCCCCACCTGACTGCATAATATGGGGTCCCTCACATCCCTTGATGTCTCCCTAATGGTCAGAAAGAGTTTCGGTCTCCTTAAAGGACCATCACCATCATCCCACAATCCTGACCCTTCAGAGGACATCTCACAAATTTCAAGATTTCAGAAATATCCCACACACCCCATGGCCCATCAGAGGACATCCCAAAGAGGGGTGACCCACATCCTACTCTTTTCCGAATGGCATATGCCATATCCTCTGGGGTCAGAGACAAGATGCCCTAAATCATTAGTAGCCAGAATGGGATGCCAGACACCCCATACTCTCTCAGAAAGATGTATCACACCTTCTTATTCTCTAGTTGAGACTTCCCATTTCCCTTGTGGAGGAAGACCGCTTTCCCCCCACCGACCTGTGGCCGATAGCATCCTCGCCGTTTGTTCTGCTGCACGAAGCATCCTTTACTTTTTGCTGCTGCAGGGTCAGGACTCAACATTTCCCACTGCTCCTGCCAGGACGTCTCATGCCCTTTTCTTTCCTTGAGAGTACCAGGTGGAGTGTCCCACACCACCTCACCTGACTCTGGAGTTTATCTCTTGTCCCTCGGCATCCCCCTTCAATTCGGAAAGTTCCTTTCCACTTCCCCAGACCACCTGACCTGTCTCCTATTTCTTATACCCCCCTTATTCTCGACCTGTCTCCTCCCTTTCCCTCTGTTCTCTCCTCAGTTTCGCCACCTGTGGAATGAGAAAGTTGGAGTAGGTGAATTCTGTGGAAGTTCTGGCCTTAAAATGCAATTTAGAAAGCGCCTTTTTTTTTTTTAGTGTGGGGTTTCTTGAACTTCAAGTACACAAATTTGGATGAATCATGCTTTTCAGTTTATGTCACAAAATCATTACCAGCCTTTGCAAGATCCTTCTTGTGCTTTATTTTACATTCTTATTCTTTTCTTCCATTCGTTCCTAACTCATCTCTTTAATGCATTTGATATGCATCCATGGATATGTATTTTAACTTAGAAAAATAGTGTTTTTTTATATATGTATGTATTTTAATTTCCATAAATGATATCGTGCTATAGATTTTTTCCTATTTTTGATTTTTTTGCTCAACACTGTTTCTCAAATCTCTCCGTGCTGCTTTCTGTTAGTCTAGTTCGTGGCTACTAGGTGCTGCAGAGACTTGCCCGTCACATTTACTTGTCTATTCCAATAGAGATGGGCACCTAGGTTGATTCCAACTCCCTGTTTCTTTCTTTCTTTCTTTTTGGCTGTGCCGTGTGGCATTCGGGATCTTAGTTCCCGGACCAGGGATCGAGCCCAAGCCCACTGCAGTGGAAGCGCAGAGTCCTAACCACTGGACCCCCAGGGACGTCCCCCCACCTCCCTATTATTATAAACAGTGTAGCAATGAACATCTGCAATCCATATATGTTCCTGCACGTGGTTTTTTTCTGAATGTATACCCAGAAGTGAAACTGTTGGGTTAGAGGGATAAACACACTTCACTTCATAAAGTATGTCAGAGTGCTTTCCAAAAAGACTAGCACCCATTTACACCCCCAGCTGTTTCCTCTTATCCTTCCAATGCTTGATATTATCCTTTGAATATTTGCCGATCTAACTGATCTAAAGTGCCATCTCCTGCTGATTTAAGTTGCGTTTCTGTGATCCCTGCTGAGATGGAGCATCTCTTCATGTACTTGTGAGTAATCCACGCTTCCTCTTCTATGAATTGGCTATTCATATCCTTTGCCCATTTTTCAATTGGATTATCTCTCTTTTCTTGCTGATCTGCAAGAGTTCTTTGTGTAGTCTAGACGTGAATCCTTTCTGAGATAAGAATCTCTTCTGAGGGCTTCCCTGGTGGCGCAGTGGTTGAGAGTCTGCCTGCCGACGCAGGGGACGCGGGTTCGTGCCCCGGTCCAGGAAGATCCCACATGCCGCTCCGCGGCTGGGCCCGTGAGCCGTGGCCGCTGAGCCTGCGCGTCCGGAGCCTGTGCTCCGCAACGGGAGAGGCCACAACAGTGAGAGGCCCGCGTACCGCAAAAAAATAAAAATAAAAAAATAAATGGATAATCACTTTATTTACAAAGCCCCCCAAGATCCAGGCAGAAGGCTAATAGACTCAGGAGAGATTCTTTTTTTTTTTTTTTCGGTATGCGGGCCTCTCGCCGCTGTGGCCTCTCCCGTTGCGGAGCACAGGCTCCGGACGCGCAGGCTCAGCGGCCACGGCTCACGGGCCCAGCCGCTCCGCGGCATGTGGGATCCTCCCGGACCGGGGTACGAACCCGTGTCCCCTGCTTCGGCAGGCGGACTCTCAACCACTGCACCACCAGGGACGCCCACCCATTTCTAATCTCACTGGACCCTACACAAACTCATATGACAGAGCCAGGAAACAGACTATTAACTCACTTTATACAGGAAGAATTGGAAGCTCAGAGAGGTCAATAGCCCACTCAAGGCCGCAGATCTGGACCTCAAAGCTCTGGATTGGAATCCCAGCTCCTGTGATAGCAGGCGGTTTCACTTCTCTGAGCATGAGTTCTCTCTATCAGGGATGTTAATTTCATATTTCTAGGTTATTGTGAGCTATGTTAAATGTCCAGCCCTGAGCTTACACTAGGGACCTCCATGTCATTACCTCTCTTTTTCTCTCTCCTGCTGCCACAGAAGCAAACTGCACTTATTTTAAATTCTTCACCACGGGAGAGGATGCTCACATCTTCCAGAGAACCACAAAGAAAGGTAAGAACTTTTCGCCCGGTGGAGGGGATATGCTGACCACGCTAAAGGATTTCTTTTCTTTCTTTTTCTTTTTTGTAAACTGAAGTGTAGCTATTTCCAATATTGTGTTAGTTTCAGGTGTGCAGCAAAGTGATTCAGTTATTTTTTTCAGATTGTATTCCATTATAGTTTATTAAAAGGTATTGATTATAATTCCCTGCGCTATACAGTAAGTCCTTGTTGCTTATCTATTTCACGTATAGTAGTTTGTATCCGTTAATCCCAGGGGGGTTCTTGATAGCACTGTGCTCTTCTCTGCTTTGCCGCAGGATGGGCACAAGCTCCTAAATCCTAGGGAGGTCTCATCTTTGAAGAGAGGTGGTTCTCCAGAGCCCTGTGTCCAACATTCCTGCCTCAGCTCTGCTTTTGCCACATGCCGTGTTACTCTGGGCAAGTCCCAGCCTCTCTCTGTGGATAGTACGTTAACATCTCACAAGTGTGCATCTCCCACATGCTAAACACAGCGCTGGGTGTTTCATTTATAAGAGTTCCAGTCCTTGCCATGACCCTGCAGGGCAGGGGCTTGATCTTAATCTTCCAGATGAGAAAACACAAGTCCATAAATGGTTTAATTTATTTCCCCAGGAAGTGGCAGAGGCAGAGGCAGGATTCGAACCCAAATAATTCCAACCCTAAAGTAGTACTCTTGAATAAAATATTCCATGAGAATGGGAATGTTCTGTATCTGCACTGACCGATACGGTAGCCACTGGCCACATGTGGCCAGTGCAACTAAGACACTGAGTTTTAAATTTTGTTCAATTTAAACCCATTTAAAATTAAAAGACCCTCCGTGGCTAGTGTCTACCATACTGGGCAATAAAACTTTTAAGACTTTACCCTTTCTACTGTAACCACAGTCTCTCCATCACCCCAGTATGTCAGTATCCCCACCAGTAAAGGAAATGTGGTATGTCATGAACCTTATCTGGTCTTTGTAAGGATTTAATGAAATGATGCAGCTAAAACATGCAGTATGGTGCCTGGCACATAGTAGGTCCTCCATAAACAGTGGAGGACTCTTTATGGAGGACCTACTTACCCTCTCCACTCCTTTCTTTCTTATCTTGGTGCTAAGTGAGCTTGGGCAAGTCTCTGTGCTCCCCTAGGATAGCAAAATAATCACAGGGCACACATATGGAACAAGTGCTGTGTGCCAGGTGGTGCACCGGGTACATTACGTATGGGATTTCTAATCCTCACAGCAGTCAAGTAGAGATTTTGATCTTGATTTTCCAGAGGAGGAAACTGAGGTTCAGAGAGGTTCAGTGACTTTACCAGAATCTTCCAGCTAGAAAGTAGCTGGGGAGAGTTCTGACTTGGATCATTCCGCTGTAATGTACCACCTTCTCTGTTGTCTGCCACACACCCCACTGCCTCAGTTTCCTCAGCGGTAAACAAATGGTGACCAGATCATAAGTAATACCTGGTAGTTCCCATCTCCTTCTAATCCTGGCTCTGTCCTTTCTTTGCTCTGTGACCTTAAGCAATTAACTGACCCTTTCTGAGTCTTAGTTCTTCCTTCAACAGTATAAGTAAAACATTGAACTGGATGATCTCCTTGAAAATTCTTCTCTAGTCCTGGATCTTCCGGGTCCCTATATGGGAGTTCTCTCTACTCCCTACATCCTGTATTCTCTCCTTCCCCTTCCCCTCCTCACAGAGGTAAATCTGGCAGCTGCGGTGATAGCAGTGCTAGGCCTGGCAGTCATGGCCCTGGGGTGCCTCTGTATCATCATGGTGCTCAGCAAAGGTGCAGAGTTCCTGCTCCGCGTTGGAGCCATCTGCTTTGGCCTCTCAGGTGAGGGTTGAGAGCCTGCAGACTGAGGACATTGCATGCTGGGAGGTCGCGTCTCCAAACACCATTGCATGTTGGGAGGTCAGGTCTCCAAGCACTGTTGCATGCTGGGAAGTTGGGTTTCCAAGCACTGTTGCATGCTGGGAGGTCGAGGGAGGTCTCCAAGCCCCGTTGTAGGCTGGGAGGTTGGGTCTCCAAGCACCGTCGGGTGCTGGGAATTGGCGGAAGCTCACAGGCTATAGAAGTCTCAAAGATGGGAGAGTTCTAAGTTCTGTTGTTGACTGCGAATTGGGGAGTCTCCAAAGACTTCTTCAGATTGGAATCTAGGGTCCCCAAGCACTGTTGCAAGCTGGGACGTTGAGGGAGGTCCCCATGCACTGTTGTATGCTGTCAGGTTGAGGAAGGTCTCTAAGTACCATGGCATGCGGGGAAGCACAAGGCCTATAGTAGGCTCAAATATGAGGATGGTCCAAGCGCTGTTGTTGGCTGGGAATTGAAGGTTCTCCAAACACTCTTTTAGATTTGGACCTGGAGTCTGCAAGAACTGTTGCATTTTTGGAGTTGGGGGTCCAAAAAAATTCTGCATCTTGTGAAATGTAGCCCTCATTGGATCAGATGTTTTCTAAGGTGGATAGATAAGTCACTAACTATACAAGCTTCATTTATTTATCTTTCGTGTATCTACTGAGCACCTACTATGTTCCAGGCACTGAGCTGAGGGCTGGAGATATAAGATTAATAAGACAGACACTGTGTCTGCCCTCATAGAGCCTAGATTCTGACAGAGATAGACAGTAACCCACAATTACACATATAATAATCCAGCTATAATTGTGAGGAGAGTTACGATAAAGCATATAAGGGGTACACACTGGGGTTGGGGGGCTTGTCAGAGAAACTTCCTGAGAAAGTGATATTTAAGCTGACAATCAAAGGAGGAACAGAAATCATCCAGTCGGAATATGGAGTTGACAGCAGTGGTGGCAGCGTTGGTGATGTTTGTTGTTGTGGTGGTGATGATGGTGATGCCCTTGATATGGTAATAGTGGTGATGGAATAGCATATATGTAGTCTGTAAAAGACTTGGCAAGTTTAAAAGAAGATGAATGAACAGAATGAGGATCAGAGCATAGGGCAGGGCAAAGTTTGCGCAAATGCACGTGGTAACCCTAGTTAACAAATAAGTAGAGGCTTGGTGCAAGATGAGTCAAGGGAGGTCCCTGGTGGTCCAGTGGTTAGGACTCTGCGCTTTCACTGCAGAGGAGGGCATGGGTTCAATCCCTGGCTGGGGAACTAAGATCCTACAAGCTCCGCGCGGCCAAAACGAAAACAAAAATAAAGGAGACAGGGAGATACGAATGTTCAAGAGCACACTCGAATAGAAATTATTAGTAATCACATTCTTATTATTGTTTTGTGCCTTAGAGAGCTTCCTAAATAAAGGGGGAAATTCAGTCATTCCCTGTCTTTCATTTATTCATTAGAAAGGTGTCTGCCCTTTAACGAGATCATCATCTGGTTAAGGACAGAGAAATGATACAAATCATCCCACAATTACAAACTGCAGTAAGTGCTATGAAGGAAAAGTAGAGTTCTGTGAGAATGCATAACGAGGGCACTTCATTTAAAGCAGAATTAGAGAAAGCCTCTCTGAGGAGATGACACTTAAAACATCAAAGTATGGGTAACCAAGCTAGAAAGAGTTCGGTGGATTTCGAGTCCTGAAAGAAAGCCAGTGAGGCTGGAGCATGGAGAGTAAGGAGGATACTGGTTTAAAAGACAAACCAGGAAACCGACAGGGAATCAAAAGATCTGGGTTGGAGTCCCAAATTCCAACCCAGGGAGGAGATAGAAATTAGGCAAATAAATAATGCTCATATAAATTAATATATGTTAACAATTACCAATTGTGGTAAATGCTATAAATGAAAAGTAAAGAGTCTAATGAAAATGTATAACAGGGAGACCCAACAGAGACTTGACTGGTGATGGTCAGGGAAGCCTTCTCAGAAGAACTGTAATTCAAGTAAGGAATTCTGTAGAGAATGAGGATGTGTAAGGTGGGCTCAGGGAAGGGTAAGCAGACAGTTATTCCAAGCAGCACAAAGGTCTGCAGGCCTGAACAAATTTGATGCATTTAAAGTCCTGAATGGGACTTCCCTGGCGCTCCAGTGGTTAGGCCGCCACGCTTCCGCTGCAGGAGGCTCGGGTTCAATCCCTGGTCGGGGAACTAAGATCCCGCATGCCACGCGGTACAGCCAAAAAATAAAAATAAAATAAAACAAAAATAAAGTCCTGAAAGAAGTCCTACCCCATACTGCTGTAGGATGGGAAGGGCAGCTTGAGAGGAGGCTGAAGAAACAGGCAGGGGCCAGGTCACGTGGGCCCTTCTCGGTCATTCGAGGGAAGTCAGGTTCGATCAGGGAGAAGGTAACGTGATGTGCCTAAGAGAAGAGTCTTGGAGTAGACCTGTCTGGGCTCAAACCCACATGGCTCTTTTCTAGGCTTCAATTTTCCCATCTGTAAAGTGGGGATAATAATAATAATACCCATTCATAAGGTCTAGTGGAAGAGGTGAGATGTGGGAGCATTTGGTTAGATTCTTGTTGCAAAGCTAGTGTGTCAAGGCCAGAGCTCCACAAACTACAGCCCATGGTCAAATCCTACCTGCCTCTTGTTTTGGAGTTAGTGACTTTTTTTTTTTTTTTTTTTGCGGTACACGGCCCTCTCACTGCTGTGGCCTCTCCCGTTGCGGAGCACAGGCTCCGGATGCGCAGGCTCA